CATAATGTCCTCCAAGTTCATTCACATTATGCAGTTTCACAGATTCTATATCATTCTTTACTGTTGCATAATATTCTGTTTTGTGTATGTACCATAGCTTTTAAGACCCCAGATGATAGTCATCAAAGTAGGATGCAGAACATTGTCTTTATGAACTATGTTGTGCCAATTTATGTAGATGTCCCTCAAGTCTCTGGTCCTTCACACTTTGAAGCCTAGAAGTTTGCCCCACGTGACGTTTCGTTGTCTATTTCCATGACTGTGCCCGTGTGCTCTACTGTCTACATAAATATACTTACAGCACTTACAATTATGTACGTAGTAATATCCACAACCAACTCTGTATCTGCAGGTGGGTGTGCATCTTTACACCCTCCCACATCACTTTCCAATACCTGTCTACCTATGTATCCATTTGTAAATTACTGTTTGTTTGTACTATTGCTGCAGGATTATCTATGTGACAGTAATTACCTCGTTGTTATTAGTTTCCATGGAGTTCAGTCCAATTCATAGCAACCCTATGTACAACAGAATGAAACACTGCTGGGCCCTGCACCATCCAGACAATCTTTGCTGTGCTTCAGCCCATCATTGCAGCCACTGTGCCAATCCATCTGTTGAGGGTCTTCCCCTTTTCTGCTAACCCTATACTTTACCAAGCATGATATCCTTCTCCATTTTTTAGAAATGTCCTTTCTGACAACATGACCAAAGTATGAGATGAAGTCTGTCCGTTCACTTCTAAGGAGCACTGAGGCTGTACTTCTCCCAAGACAGATTTGTTCTTTCTTCTGGCAGTCCATGGTATTTTCATTACTCTTCACCAACACTACAATTCAGATGTATCAGTTCTTCACTGTCCACCTTTCAGATGCATGAAGCTATTCAAAATACCATGGCGTGGGTCAGGCACACCCTTGTCTTCAAAGTAATGTCTTTGCTTCTAACACGTTAAAGAGGTCTTTTATAGATTTGCCCAGTATAGTATGTTGTTTGATTTCTTGACTGCTGCTTCCATAAGCGTTGTTTGTACCTAATAAACGGTGACCAGCACTGTGCTGACTGCTAGGGCACAGAGAGCTCTTTGAAGAACTTATGGTGTGTGTGGCCTAGAGGGTTACAGACCATACCTGAAAGCTGGAAAAAAAGCCTCTAGGTAGTCGCTGCTTAACTCAAAGGTAGGATGGGCCAGTCTACTGATGCTTTCTGGAGGAGATTCTGTGGGTCATGAACTGTGTCCTCATGGAAACATGGGATATGGACTAACAGCAAAAAGAAAGGACCGTGTCAGAGCAGCAGCATGATAGACATGAAGATCTCAAGGCAGAAAGATGGCACCTGGAGAGCTCACAGACTTGAGATGACATCAGTGTTGATGCTGGACACAGTGTCACTTTGTCTGTGACAATGGCCAGCAACATTTATGGTAGCAACAGTAGGTACCTATGCCCCCATCTCTCACTGATGGAAGTGGCCAAATGCGGCTTCAGCAGCACTAATAACCAAACACACTCATTCTCCTTCCCTGCAGGTAGCCCACAGGGAATTCAGGTCAGTTCTTCATTGGCAGCTTTGTAATTAGAGCCCAGATAGAGTTTTCAAAGGAGCCTGGTGTGCAATGGTTAGTGCTCAGCTGCTAACAGAAAGGTCAGCAGTTTGAACCCACTAGCTGCTCCACGGCAGAAATGTGGCAGTCCGGTTCTGTAAAGATTTATAGGCTTGGAAACCGTTGGAGGCAGTTCTGCTCTGTCCTGCCAGTTTGCTATGAGTCAGCATCAGTGAGTTTGGGTTTTTGGTTTATAGAGTTTTATGGCTGAGACAAAATGCTCTTAAACAGAGTGAAGCTTGGAGAGATGTTCAAGGTCTACTTGCTCACTCAGAAAATGTCTACTCAAATTTTCAGAATGGTCGTGGCCCAGAGAAACACAACATGCATTCTGGCTTCTTTGAGTATATATGTGATCATGAAGAATGCAGGGAAATATCCCACATACCATGCTCTGTCACTGCAGAGTAAGTCCACAGCTGTTATCCCAGGAATAGTTTTAGATCTAGATTCATAATGGAACTATGACTAGAAGTGAAATGAATACTGAAACACAGCTCTCAAAGCACATGTAAGAATTAACTTATCATCAACTCTGTGCTTACATACTATTTGGTTATGTATTTGATCAATAAAGTAGAATGGTCTCCAGAAAATAAATTTTGGATTCACAAAAAATTCCAGATTTCAACCCTTTTGCACATATAGTACTGCATTGTCAGTGAAGGCAAACATGCGTATATGGGTGGACAGGCTGAACTAGTAGGTATGTCTCTGAAGCAGGGAGTGTACCCAAGAACATGTATAGGGTTGGCAGACAATGGTCCTATAAGTTTA